TCACATTTTTCCAAAAAAATCCAAAAATTATTAAAATGGCATCTATGCGAAAGGAATAAAATATTCGTTGATAAAGAATTCTTCCTAGAATTACAATCTGGGGTCATTTTTGTTCTACTTCTTGAAATAACTTAGCAAATGGGAAAAATATTTTCTAAAATTTTTTGAAAACAGGTTCAAACTGCCTTTTCAAAAGAAAAAAACCAATGAAAATGTCTTCAAAGCGATGAATCTGAAGTAAATTTCAAACTGTGTCCGCAAATGATCAAAAAAATTAGAAAAACAGTTTCCACAAATTTTCCAAAAAACTTGTTCAAATGGTCTCCGTTCGGAAGCAAAAAAGGACTAGTTTGTAGAGAATTCTTTGTAGATTAATAATTTGGCCTACTTTTGATTCTGTTCATTTCGAAAGTTGAGAAAAATCGCAAAATATGTTTTCAAAATAATTAAAAATTTTTCAAAAATTGCTAAAATGCAACTATGCAAAAAGAAAAAATACCTATTGATTTATAGAGAGTTTTTCGTGGATTAATAATCTGAGGTCACTTTTGTTCTACTTCTTCTAATAACCTAAAAAATGAGAAAAATTATTTCCAAAAATTGAAAGAAAGGTTCAAATTGTCTATTCAGAAAAAAGCACTGGCCTACTAGAAAATTTCTTATGAGCTACGGATCTAAAATAATTCTCAATCTTTCTCTGCAAAGTACTGGGAAAATTAGAAAAAATATTTTCAAAAATTTTTGAAAAAAAAGTTAAAATGGTGTCTATCCAAAGGAAAAAAGAATAGTTTATAGAGAATTCTTTGTAAATTAATAATTTGACGTGAGTTTGATTCTGTTTATTTCAACAGCAGAAAAAGTGGCAAAATATTTTTTCAAAATTTTCCAAAAATTTCCAATAATTGTTGAAACAGCAGCTGTGCCAACGGAAAAAAATACTGATTTATACGAGTTCTTTGTAGACCTAATATTTGAAATCACTTTGCTTCTGCTCCGAGAAATAACTTAGAAAATGGGAAAATCATTTTCAAAAAAAAAGTACCGAGAACATTACGATAAAGATAAATTCCAAAAATTTTGCGAAAACCATGTTAAAATGGTCTCCATTCGAAAGTAATAAAGACTAATTTATAGAGAAATATATTAATAATAATAATTTGGCGTTGTTTGATTCTGTGCAACAACCGAGAAAAGTAGCAAAATATGTTTTCAAAATTTTATAAGAGAAATAAAAAAATTGTTAAAATGTCAGCTGTGCGAAACAAAAAATACTGACTTATTGAAATAAATTAGAAAATGAGGAAAATATTTTTCAAAAGTTTTCGAAAAAGAAGTTCAAACTGCCTATTTAAACCACGAATAAGTGTTAAAATAATCTCCACGCCCAAGGAAAAAAATCGCTTATAGAGAATTCTTTGTAGATTAATAATAATTTGACGATATTTTGATCCCGCTTATTCCAACAACCACGACAAATGGCAAAGTATGTTTTAAAATTTTTCCAAAATAATCCAAAAATTGTTAAAGTAGCAGCAAGGCGAAAGGAATAACATTTTCATTTATGAAGAAATTTCTGAAATCTGACGTCATTTTTGTCCTATTTGCAATACTCAGAAAATGGCCTACTAGAAAAATTCTTCTAAGCTACAAATCTGAAGTAATTTTCAATATTTTTCTACAAATGACCGATACAATTACAAAAATTATTTTCAAAGATTTTCCAAAAAACGTAAAAATGGTCTCCATTCAAAGGAGAAAAAATAGTAGTTTATAGAGAATTCTTTGTAAATTAATAGTTTGACGTCATTTTAATTCTATTCAACCAGAAAAGTGCTAAAATATTTTTTCAAAATTTTTCAAAAAATTTCCGTTAATTGTAAAAACAGTGCAGCTCTACGAAAGGAGAAAATACTGATTTTTAGGAGTTCATTGTAGCTTTACTATTTGAAGTCATTTTGTTCCTAGAAATAACTTTGAAAATAGGGAAAATATTTTCCGAAAATTTTCAAAAAATAAAAATCCAGACTGCCTATTCACAAGAAAAAAAGCACCAGGATACTAGAATAATAATAATAATAATAATAGTGCTTTATTACGCCGAAAGATGTAAAGGCATTACATAAAGTACATAACAAAATATTAACATAACAATTCATATTAACATAATAGTAACAATTTGCGACATTCTTTCTTGAAGGCGTTGAGGGAGATACCAAAAAACTCTAAAGTGTTGCATTCGTTAGCAATCATCAAAACGCTATTTAGAGGCGAATGTAATGCATAATTCGTTTTATGAACTGGTATAAAAAACAGCCTAGGCGTACGAACCTTACGGATTGACACATTAAGACCTACCAACGCTAGCAATATGGGGGCTTCAATTAAACCATTTAATAATTTAAAAAGAAAACATAGTTTGTGATACTTACGACGATTTTCTAGTGTATGTACTGACAGATAAGATGCAACAAGGTCTGTATCTGCTAACACAATACCATCACCACACAACTTATATTTGACATATTTTAAAAGTTTGACTTGGACAGCTTCAATTCGGCTTATGTTAGAAAGTTACGAATCTCAAGCAATTTTCAAACTGTCTGCAAATGACCGAGAGAATTAGAAAAATAATTTCCAAAAGTTTCCAAGAAAAAATCCAAAAATTATTAAAACGGTGATGCAAAAGCGAAAAAGTGCTGCTTTATAGAGAGCTCCTCGTAGATTAATAATCTACGTTCAATTCTTCAGTATTCCTTGAAAAAACTTTGAAAATGAGGAAAATCGTTTTCAAAAGTTTTCAAAAAAGAGGTTCAAACCGCCTATTCGAAAGAAAAAAAGCACTGGGCTATTGGAATTTTTTTTCCAAACTACGAAACTCGAATGACCGAGAAAAATGGAAAATTAAGTTCCAAAATACATGTTTCCAAAGGACAAATCTCAATTTTTGTAGATTAATAATTTGACGACATTTTGATTCTGCCTGTTCCAACAACCGAGAAAAGCGGCAAAGAATCAAATTTTGCTAAAAAAAGGAATAAAAATTCATTTATAAAGAAGTTTTTTATTCTACTTCTTGAAATGTGTAACTTTGAAGATGGGTAAAATATTTCCCAAAATTTTTTAAAAAAAGGTTCAAACTGCCTTTTCAAAAAAAAAAAACCATTGAAAATGTCTTCAAAGCTACGAATCTGAAATAATTTATAAAAACTGTGTCTGCAAATTACCAAGAAAATTAGAAAAACGGTTTCCAAAAATTTTGCAAAAAACTTGTTAAAACGGTCTCCGTTCGAAAGGAAAAAAGGACTAGTTTGTAGAGAATTCTTTCTAGATTCATCTGACGTCATTTTGATTTTGTCTATTTCAGGAGCGGAGAAAATCGGAAAATTTTTTTTTTTTTATTTTTCAAAATTTTCAAAAATTGCTAGAACGCAACTGGGCTACAAGAAAAAAAAACTGATTTATACAGAGTGTTTCGTGAATTAATAATAATCTGAGGTGACTTTTGTTCTATTCCTAAAATAACCTAGAAAATAAAAAAAATGTTTCCAAAAATTAAAAAAAAAGTTCAAATTGTCCATTCAGAAAAAAGCACTGGGCTAACAAAAAATTTCTTATAAGTTACGAATCTGACGTAATTCTCAAAGCAAAAAAATCATTGGGATACTTGACAATTTGTTCAAAATTACGAATGTGAAGTCATTTTCAAACTGTCTGCAAATGACCGAGAGAATTGGCAAAATAATTGCCTAAAATTTTCCAAAAAAATTGTTAAACTGGTCTTCATTTGGAAGGAAGAATTTGACGTCATTTTAATTCTGTTCATTCCAACAGTCAAGAAAAGAAAATATTTTTCCAAAATTTTCAAACAAAATCAAATCAAGTTTCATTTTTGTTTTATTCCTTGAAAAAACTTTGAACATAGGAAAACTATTTTCCAAAATTAAAAAAAAAGTATAATCAAAAGTTGTCCAAAAAATATAAAAACGGTATCAATTAGAACGGATAAGAGCTTTAAATTATAGAGAATTCTTTGTAGATTCATTGTTAACATCAAACAAATACGAACAGAATTTTCCGAAAAAGGACTGCGTTCTCTTTTAAATAGAAGCTTTTATATAACACAAAGTATGTTTGTAAAATGTAAATAATCTGAAGCTCGATAAAACTTCATTTATTATTAGCACAATGCAGAGATTATTATTTTTCTGTGTAATGCCAGACATTTTCTTATCTTTGACGATATGATGAAATTACATTCTTCTCTGACTACTCATCACACCAGGCACGAATAGTGCCCGTGCTCTGACTCTGACTCAACGGAATTTGCTACTGGTATGTTTAAAAACAGAATTGTTTTAAAATTTCCATATGGAAATGTTATTCTTTTAAGTTATAAAACAGTGTTTGAAATAATCTGTCACTGTACAGCTTTCGAGAAATATTGGCACAATATCCGTTTTAATGGTTTTAGCTTAAAATTAGACGTTAGAAAATTAATGGAATATGCTCCTGCAAAATACCAAACTCTCAAATTAAGTCTGTTTACACAATCTCTTCCAACACAGTACGTCTTTTCAGCACGTCTACTTTACGAGTAAAGTTCTTACTTCCACCGTAACTCAAAGATTCTTTTCTAATCAATACTACCCACCTTCATAACTCGATCATTTTATCTAACTTTTTCACTTCAAAAAGTTATAACTCCACGACCTATTACACACACACGTATTTACCTAAATGTGCGCCCCACAACGCTTTCCTCACCAGACACATTTCAATTTCGTATTCAGCTCGGAGCTTCGAACCCACCGGACTGAAAACATCTAACTATACGTTGTCTACCTTTCGGCTATTAACTTGGCCAAATTTACTCGTCCTAATTGTTGTAACGTTTATGTAACTCGGCTCTAATCTGCACTGTTTACTACCGGATAATTCAACTTTGATCGACTCCCGGAGTAGTCCGGTCAAGTTTAACTAGTTTTATTTTTCGCTTGCAGAGTTAATCAACGAATGATGCGCCGCCGGAAAAACTCCAGTTTGGGATTCCTGAAGTGACCGACTCCGGGTAATCGACGCCGCCATGTTAGGGGCAACACCGGATTTCACGTGCAGCTAATATGTTCTTATTGGCTGCCGTCTTATTGCTACTAAGTGCCGGATTAGCAGGTGAGCACTGTGCGGAATCGAAAAAAGCTCGGAGTCCGGGCAAAGCGAAACAATTCTACAAATCGCTGAACACCTCAATAAATTTCTGAATTAAGTTTCTGTAGTTAATAAATGACGAACGATCGTAAACAAAAATCTAGAGCTAAAAAAGTTCCATTAATTTTTTCACATAGGGGCTGTTTGTGCTTTTTAAACGAAAGAGACGAAAAAAAAATTTATTAAGAGAACACTCCGGGCTTGACGCAGACGTACTTTAAATTTGTTTGAGCTGTGTACAAGTCTGGTCTTTAAATAAAGTGAATAAATATAACTCACTTTGATGAAAATTTCAGCTGAAAGCTAAAAACTAAAGACTGTGAATAGTATATTTTCTGGAGGACTGTTTTATTGATTAAATTAAAATTATATGTAATTAAAAATAATTAAATCTTGCCATTTCTTCAATAACAGGGAGCGTTCAGGAACCTTATAAACCAAGCGTAACAAAAACACCACCCGCGGGGTTTTGTTTGGTTGGTTTAACTCAATTAAATCAACGTTGTAATAAACTAGTTTGATTTATTATAAATAGAAACGACGAAATCGTTTTCAAAAATAAACAGACAGACAACTAGAAAAAACTGACTGAAATTAAGCATAGGGCAGAACAATATTTTCATTAAACCCCAGGAAATTAATTTTCTGTTAAATATTATGAGTCCGAATACTCAACCAAGTTCAAAAACTCGGAAATAATGAAGCGTAAAATTTTATTCAGGCAGCTGCCGGCAGAATATTCTAAGAAATTATATAAATTTGTGAATACTTTAACTAAGACTTGAAGCCAACCTTCCACTAAATTTACAAAAAAAACGTGTACCATCAACCTTCGAAATTTCTAGTTTTTAAATTATAGTTTAACTTTAAAATTAAAATAAAAAAAAAAAACAAAAAAAGTCGGTTAATTTAGCTCAAACTAACCAGTTTTACGTTGTACTTTTCCGTCCAACACTATTAATATGCATTCTGTACCTTTTACGCCAATATTTGAATAAATGTTCCCCAGAGGAGCCAAGAGGCATCTCCGCCTAAATTTGCTCCCTTAATCTAAATAATATTTCACTTTTCACTTTCATCTTCCCCACGTTATGCAGTCACAAAGATTCACAATTTCCTTATAAATAACGAACAGAGTTCTCGAGCACCAGTTTGGCGGGTTTTTCTTTTTCTCTCCTCTTTATTTTCCAAGTTCAAGCAGACGTGAATAAAGAATGAGAAATAAAATAGAAACCCGATCGAAATGTATTTCGTTTATTTTGGTTGCCGCTTTATGGGTTTTTGTTTGAATGAATGTACAGGTCGATCGTAAAATGGTAACCTTAAAATATGTGTTTTTTATTGCTGGAATCGTCGGGCCTGATAAGAATGTTTGGAGGGTTTTGTTATTTATGGAGTTTATAAAACGTGGGGGTTTTACTTGTGCGAGTCAAATCGAATTATGAGTTCGCGTTGTCGGGGAAATGTGTTTAGGTGAAGTTTAAAAAGAAGCAGTGGTACGGACTTTATTAAATTGTTTGTTTAAATTTGCTTGGAATATGTTGTTAAGAGATGTGGCTGGAGCAAGTTAAGTTTATTCTGGACGTTGCTGCAGCATTGTCTGAATTCAGACAATACGGAAACAATAATAATAAAAATGCAACGTCATCACAATAGAGAAAATTAAACAGTACGTCCTTGTTGTGTTCTCTATCAAAAAATTTCCACTTCAGCTTCATTCCTTGTTTATTTTCATGTTCTCTCATCGAGGTCGCCTAAAAAGAATTGGGTCGTGCTATTAATATTTAAAACTTAGATTAATTAGTCGAAATTGTTTATTTACCACATCAACAGTGAAATAAAATTTAAAAACCATTAACTACATTTTTCAAACAGTAATGAAAAGAACCCACCTTCATTCGGTCTCTATAATTATACCCTGACAGAATCATAAATGCGAATCAATACTACACAGCGCATACATTACAATGCAATGTAACATCAAAATTTAAACCGAGATATACAACTACGTAATGGTTAAATCCAGTTCACCGTTTTCCGCGTTTTTACCCATTGTTGCACTAACACAATCAAGCTTTCGAAATGACGACTTCGAGAACAACAATTGTTATTTTGTTCAACGATAAAATGTACTTTAAATTTATGCAAGGATGCGGTTTTCAAAGGGAATTTGTGATGAATTCCAGGGTATGAAATATGGAGGATGAGACATCATGGGGGTAGATCTTCGTGGAAAAACTAAATGGACGCTGTGTCCACTGGAAATACTAGTCTATTACGGGTATCAAGGGCTATGGACTTTGCCCTGAAATTGAATTCAGAGAGATATTCCTGAAACCTGAATGCATTTGAAAGGCTTTGTGCAGACGAGACAAGCCGGAGGTTGTATATTTATGCAACTGAAATTCAGTTCTTAACACACGGGTTTTCCTGAAGCTATGGTTTGAAATGTATTGGTAGCTTCTATTTTATTTGAATAAAAATTAAATTGAGTGCAAGTTTTGTAATCGGTTCATTGGACGACGTTTCGTGGCGTCTAGAGTACGTCTCTCTGAGTGTCTGTGTGTCTGTGTGTCTGCTGTCTATCCGGATTTTTATTAGACCGATAAATCTCCGAAACTCCCAGACCGATTTTTCTCAAATTTTATATATGTAGTAGGAATATCGTGTAAAACGCTAATCAAAATTTGGCTAATCGTCCCTACCACCAATAGGAAGACGTCACCTCCAAAATTTACATTAGTAAATATTATTTAAATTTTATAAAATAAGATACTCTATACATGTGGGTTATGAATCCGTGTTGAGTTTTTATACTAAACATCCAGATTTTTGGAAAAAATCACGCAAACGTTTTAAGATTTGACGTTCTCACAAAATAATCGCAAAAATGAATTTTATAATCGGTGTGAAAGTCAAATTTTTTAAAAATTATACAAACTGCCATATTTCAATTGACGATTCTCGAAAAATGGCAGTAATTTTCAAAGACATGGACCAGAAAATGACTTCTGTGGGTTGAAATTTACAAACAAAATAATCTACAATAAATATTTTTAGCCAATTTTCGAAAAAATTTCAAAAGATTGATACTGAAAAATTGGCGACCGAGGAAAGTGGTAACTTTACCACACATACACATACAAAACATACTTATGTTTTCAAAATTTTTCAAAAAATTCACAATAATTGGTAAATCAGTAGCTATACGAAAGGAAAAAATACTGATTTATAGGAGTTCCTTGTAGACTTAGTAATTGAAAACATTTTGTTCCTATTCCTAGAAATAATTCGAAAATTGGGAAAATATTTTTCGAAAATTTTCAAAAAATAAAAAGTCCAAACTGCCTATTCAAAAAAAAGCATTGGGTTACTAGAAAATTTCTTCGAAGTTACGAATCTGAAGCTATCTTCGAACTGTCTGCAAATGACACCGAGAGAATTAGAAAAATAATTTGTTAAAATTTTCCAAAAAAGCATGTTAAAGTGGTCTTCACATCGAAGGAAGAATTGACATCATTTTAATTTTGTTCATTCCAACAGGAAAAAAAATCGCAAAATATTTTTCAAAAATTTTCCAAAAGAAATCCAAAAATTGTTAAAACAGAAATGCTGCGAAATCGAAAAAGCGCTGCTTTATACCGAGTTCTTCGTAGATTAATAATCTGCGTTCAATTTTGTTCTATTCCTTGAAAAAACTTCGAAAATCGGAAAAATGTATGTTTTCCAAAAATTAAAAAATATATACATATTAATCAACTTATCAAGAGAAAAAAGCACTGGACCAATAGAAAATTTCTTTAAAGAACGAATCTAAAGTAATTTTCATTCCATCTCTATAAATAATTGCAAAAATTGAAAGTATAACCAAAAATTGTCCAAAAAAGTATAAAAACGGTATCAATTCGAAAGGAAAAAACGTTAAATTATAGAGAATTCTTTGTAGATTCATTGTTGCCATGCAAAAATAGTGGCAATTTTCCATGAAATGAAGCCTAAGATAACTTCTATAAGTTGAGTTCTACAAAAAAATGTCTAGCTAATTTTCGAATGTGGCCGAAAAATAAACAAAAATTTCAAAAGATTGGTACTGAAAAATTGAGCCTGAAAAAATAGCCTAAAAATACACAAAAGTTCTGATTCTGTTCATTCCAACAGCCAAGAAAAGTGGCAAAATATTTTTCCAGAATTTTCCAAAAAAAATCCAAAAATTGTTAAAACAATAATGATGCGAAAGCGAAGATTTTGATTTATAGAGAGCGCTTTGTAGATTAATAATAATCTGCGTTCAATTTTATTCTACTCCTTGAAAAAACTTTGAAAATCGTGAAAATATTTTCCAAAAATTAAAAAAAAAGGTTCAAACAACCAATGCGGAAACAAAAGCACTGGGCCAATAGAAAATTTCTTCTACTACGAATCTAAAGTAATTTTCATTCCATTTTTAAAAATAATCGCGAAAATTGGAAAAGCATAACCAAAAATTAAAAAAAAAAATGTAAAAACGGTATCAATTCAAACCGAAAAAAGCTTTAAATTATAGAGAATTCTTTGTAGATCCATTGTTACCATAAATTCAATCGGCGATTCTGCAAAAATAGTGCAAATTTTCCATGAAATGAAGCCTAAAATAACTTCTAGAAGTTGAATTCTACAAAAAAAATGTCTCTAGCTAATTTTCGAATGTAGTCGAAAAATGAACAAAATTTCAAAAGATTGGTACTGAACATCTAACTAATCTTGAAAAAATAACCCAAAAATACACAAAAGTTCTGATTCGGTTTATTCCCACAGCCAGGAAAAGTGGTAATATATTTTTTTTAATTTTTCAAAAAAATTCTAATAATTGTTCAAACAGCAACTATGCGAAAGGAAAAAATGCTTATTTATAAGAGTTCTTTGTAAATTTACGGTTTGAACTCATTTTGCTTCTACTCCTAGAAATAACTTTGAAAATGGGTAAAACATTTTCCGAAAATTTTCAAAAAATTCAAGTCCAGACTGCCTATTCAAAAGAAAAAAATTGATCGATTAAAATGGTCTTCACTTCGAAAGAAGAATTTGACGTCATTTTAATTCCGTTCATTGCAAAAATCACGAAAAGTCGCAAAATATTTTTCCAGAATTTTCCAAAAATAATCAAAAAATTGTTAAAACAGTAATAATGCGAAAGCGAAATTTATAGAGAGGTCTTGGTAGACTAATAATAATCTGTATTCAATTTTGTTCTATTCCTTGAAAAAATTCTTTAAAAATCGGGAAAATATTTTCCAAAAATTAAAAAAAAAAGGTTCAAACAACCTATGCCGAAACAAAAGCACTGGGCCAATAGATTTTTTTTTTAAACTAGGAATTTAAAGTAATTTTCATTCCATTTCTATAAATAATCGCGAAAATAAGAAAAGTATAATCAAACATTTTCCAAAAAAACTTAAAAACGGTATCAATTCTAAAGGAAAAAAGCATTTGATTATAGAGAATTCTTTGTAGATTCATTGTTAACATATCAACCGGCGATTCTTGTAAAAATAATAGGAATTTTCAATGAAATGAAGCCTAAAATAACTTCTAGAAGTTAATTGTACAAAAAAGAAATGTCTCTAGGTAATTTTCGAATGTGGTCGAAAATTAACAAAATTTCAAAAGAGGTACTGAATACCTAACTAAGCCTGGAAGAATGGCCCAAAAATACATTCTGATTTTGTTCATTCTAACAGCCAACAAAAGTGGTAAAATATTTTTTCAAAATTTTTCAAAAAAATTCCAGTAATAATTGTTCAAATAGCAACTATGCGAAAGGAAAAAACACTTATTTATAGTAGTTCTTTGGAAATTTACAGTTTGAACTCATTTTGCTTCTATTTCTAGAAATAGCTTTGAAAATGGGGAAAATATTTTCCGAAAATTTTCTAAAAATAAAAGTCCAGCAGACTGCATATTCAAAAGAAAAAAAATTGATCGATTAAAATGGTCATCACTTCGAAGGAAGAATTTGACGTCATTAATTTTGTTCATTGCAACAATTAAGAAAAGTCGCGAAATATTTTTCCAGAATTTTCCAAAAAAAAAACAAAAATTGTTAAAACAGTAATGATGCGAAAGCAAAAAAGTGCTGCTTTATAGAAAGCTCATTGTAGATTAATAATCTGCGTTCAGTTTTGTTCTATTCCTTAAAAAAACTTTAAAAATCGTGAAAATATTTTCCGAAAATAAAATAAAAGGTCCAGACAACCTATGCGGAAACAAAAGCACTGGGCCAATAGAAAATATCTTTCATTGCATTTCTATAAATAATCGCGAAAATTCGAAAAGTATAACCAAAAATTTTCCAAAAAAATGTGAAAACGGTATCAATTCGAAAGGAAAAAAGCGTTAAATAATAGAGAATTCTTTGTAGATTCATACCATATTTCAATCGGCGATTCTGCAAAAATAGTAGGAATTTTCGATGAAATGAAGCCTAAAATAATTCCTAGAAGTTGAATTGTACAAAAAGAAATGTCTCTAGGTAATTTTCGAATGTGGTCGAAAAATGAAAAAATTTCAAAAGATTGGTACTGAGTACCTAACTAAGCTTGGAAAAATGGCCCAAAAATACACAAAAGTTCTGATTATGTTCATTCCAACAGCCAAGAAAAGTGTTAAAATATCCTTTCAAAATTTTTCAAAAAAATTCCTATAATTGTTCAAACAGCAACTATGCAAAAGGAAAAAAGGCTTATTTATAGGAGTTCTTTGTAGATTTACGGTTTGAACTCATTTAGCTTGTACTCCTAGAAATAACTTTGAAAATGGGGAAAATATTTTCCGAAAATTTTCAAAAAATAAAGGCCAGACTGCCTATTCAAAAGTAAAAATTGATCTACATATTAAAATGGTCTTCACTTCGAAGGAATAATTTGACGTCAATTTAATTCTGTTCATTGCAACATTCAAGAAAAATCGCAAAATATTTTTTCGAATTTTCCAAAAAAAATCCAAAAATTGTTAAAACAGTAATGATGCGAAAGCGAAAAAATGCTGCTTTGTAAAGAGCTGTTCGTTAATTAATAATCTGGGTTCAATTTTGTTCTATTCCTTAAAAAACACTTTGAAAATCGGCAAGATATTTTCCAAAAATAAAAAAAATTCAAACAACCTGTCCGGAGAAAAAAGCATTGGCCAATAAAAAAATGTTTAAACTACCAATCTAAAGTAATTTTCATCAATCTCTATAAATAATCGCGAAATTGGAAAAGTATAACGAAAAATTTTCCAAAAAAATTTGGAAACGGTATCAATTCGAAAAGGAAAAAGTGTTTGATTATAAAGAATTCTTAGTAGATTCAATGTTGTAATATTTCAATCGGCGATTGAAAAATAATAGGAATGTTCGATGAAATGAAGCCTAAAATAACTTCAAAAATTTGAATTCTACAAAAAAAGTCTTTAGCTAATTTTCGAATGTGGTTGAAAAATGAACAAAAATTTCAAAACATTGGTATTCAAAAATTGAGCTTGGAAAAATGGCCTAAAACACACAAAAGGTCTGATTCTGTGCATTCCAATGGCCGAGAAAAGTGACAATATATTTTTTCAAAATTTTCCAAAATTTTTAGTAATTGTTAAAACTGCAGCTATGCGAAAGGAAAAAAATACTGATTTATAGGTGTTCCTTGTAGATTTAGTAATTGAAGTGACTTTGATTCTACTCCTAGGAATAACGTTGAACATGGGGAAAATATTTTCCGAAAATTTTCAAAAAATAAAAGTCCAGTGAGACCTATTCAAAAGAAAAAAAAGGACCGGGATACTAGAAAATTTCCTGGAAGTTACGAATCTGAAGGAATTTTCAAACTGTCTACAACTGACCGAGAGAATTAGAAAAACAATTTCCTAAAATGTTCCAAAAAACATGTTAAAATGGTCTTCACTTCGAAGGAAGAATTTGACGACATTTTAATTCTATTCATTTCAACAATCAAAAAAAGTCGCAAAATATTTTACAAGAATTTTCTAAAAAAATCCAAAAATTGTTAAAACAGTAATGATGCGAAAGCGAAAAAGTGCTGCTTGAAAAAATTGTGAAAATCGGGAAAATATTTACCAAAAATTAAAAAAAAGTTCTAACAACCTATACGGAGAAAAGAGCACTAGGCCAATAGAAAATTTCTTAAAACTACGAATCTAAAGTAATTTTCATTCCATATCTATAAATAATCACGAAAATTGAAAAGTGTAATCAAAAATTAAAAAAAAAAAAATGAAAACAGTATCAATTCAAAAGGGAAAAAGCGTTTGAGTATAGAGAATTCTTTGTAGATTCATTGTTGTCATATTTCAGTCGGCGATTCTGCAAAAATAGGAATTTTGAATGAAATGAACGCTAAACTAACTTCTAGAAGTTGAATTCGGCAAAAAAATGTCTCCAGCTAAGATTAATTCTGAAAAACTGAGCTTTTGGAAAAATGGCCTAAAAATGTACAAAAGCTCTCAGATAAGGATGCCAACGTGCTGATTTGAAAAATAAAGCGTTTTTATGGTCCCGGACCAAAATTTTTTGAAATTAAAAAAAATTTCAAACATTTCAGTTGGTTATTCTGGAAAAGTGGAAAGATTTTTAGACGAAATAAAGCTGAAAATAACTCCTGAGGCTCGAGATCCACAAGAAAATAAATCTCTTTAGCTAATTTTCAAAAATAATCGAAAAATGAAATGACGTCAAATTTTTGGTGATAACGGTCAGACAAATTATGGTTAGGGTTTTACGCCATAATATCGTTAAAACATATCTAAAATTTGACTACTGTTAAATCAGTACTTTCAGAGTAATAAAGGCGTCAGTGGACTAGAGAGAATAGTCAGTCAGACGAAACGGAAGGACGACTTTTTCATTTTCTAAGATTTACGAAAGGTCCAAAAAACATGAAATTATAATACATAGGTACTTCCTTATACCCCAGTTATACATCTTGTGGAAAGAAAAGTGACGGTTAAATTTCTTGATAATTATTAGCTACAACTTTTTGAAACTTACACCAAAGAAACAGACTTCATTGGACTGTACTTCCGGGTCAAGACAAGTTCTGTCGAAATAACTTTCAACGAATTTTTTTGTCTCCAAATCCATATTGTATGCACCTCGCTTCTCTCCCTCTTCTTTGAGTCCGCACTCCAGGATCCACTTAACCTACATAAGCCCCAATTGGATTTCGCTGATGGCGAAATAAGAAACGTGTGAAATTCACTTAAATCAGCCGTTATTTGCGTCACAATTCTGTTGCAGGTTCGATGCCCGGTGGTCCCGGGGTCCCAGAGAACATCACCGTAACTTTCCTAAATCCCACTTCCGTCAAAGTGTCGTGGTCTACATCCGTCGAAAATGTGGATAAGTACGACGTCACGTACAAACCGACCGACGCCAGGTATGCCGTTGCAGTGCTTGTGATAAAGTGACGTCATGCAATTTAGAGCTGTGACGTCACCACGTCCATTCCTACTACTAGTGCTTGCTTTAAGTAAAGAGATTCAAACAACCCCCGGTTGCTTAAACGAGCACTTGAAAGTAGCTTCGTCCGTATTAATTACTTAGAAAATTTCGCCACGCATCTCAGCTTCAGCGCCAGCGTTTAATTCCCACCCCATTACCCACCACTGCTGGCTTCCACCGTCATATCCATGTTAATTCCCGTAAACACCACGCTTAATTATCCCCTAGTAGCTTTGCATCTTTAAAGGATCAATCGATCGCTTGTCACACACGCGACTTCCATTATTGAGAGGGGCGACTTGGTCGATAAGGGTGCAATATAAGGGTTTTGTTCAGTTCGGATTGTCATTCTAGACAGTATAGCTTAGCGATCGATCATCGGCAGTGGCTTTTATTGCGCATAAGTTAGTTGTGCTAGTGCAATTTTTCGAATACGTGGAGGAAACTTGCCCGTTTGAATAAACTCGTTAAAAAAGGGAGGATTTAGTGTTGCTTGCTTCCGCTACGTATTAACTTTGCTGCCTTAAGCCTTGGTATGACGAGGATTATTGTGGAAATATGTAATCCGGGGATGCCTTCGGGGCGGTGAATTTAATGTAGACAGGTTGTACGTGCTCTGTGTGAAAGAGAAGAAACATAGTTAGGGTGGAGGGTTTCTTGTTGCGAAGGTAATGAACCCTTTGGTGCTAGTTCTCAGACGAAACTCTTACGAGATTCTTTTTTGTGCAACGAGGACGATACTCGAGAGATGTGAGGGTGTTTTAAAGATGTTGGAGAGTTCTCAGTCGGACGTCATTACACGTGTGTGTTGCTATTATATTTCCAGAGAACGAAACGCAGTAGATTTGTAGTAGTTTTGAAACAATTTTTGTCTTTAAATTTTTATTTTCTTTGCTTGTTGATTGCAAGCATAAACGCTCGAGTCTCAGTCTTGAATGTGTGTTTAAATTCTTTACTACATTTTCAATGCTCTTCCGTGATCAATTCCAATCCTTTCACTAACTTCCGAACTTGCAACTTCGTTCTCTCGAATCCCCCTTTTGACAACATACATTGAAAGCGTTACACTATTACGAGCTCCAGCATCTAGTTTCGAATTCGCAATATATGTGTATTTACCTTTGAGAACCGTAAACTCAGATTATATTAAGCATTTATGGGGAGTCGTCCTATAAAAGCTAAAATGTCGTAAATAGAGGGCACGATGTACTTTTTCAATTTGCTTGTAGTAGTAATTTAAAGCGAAATAACCGTAAACTCAATTAAAGCTATCAAGCAGAGAATAGTTTTCAAGAGTTCATTGCGAATTTATATAGAGAACTTCTATTGATGCACGTTTGGGTATTCGACTTGGATGTTTCGTCATTCAAACTGTACGTGCAGTGACAACAAAACACGTAAACTCTTTCAAATTCTGCACATTTTATCTGCTATGCCGAATCTTAAAAATTCAGCAAGTTGAGATAAAAATGACAGTTGGTCACATTGTTCTGGCTAAAATTGTCTTGACACTAATTTCGTTTCAGTCTTGTCTCAGAGAAGTTATTATTGAGTAAAAATTCATGGACTCTATTTTCTCCTAGACTTATCTGCCACTTCGTGAGCAATCAATATATGTAAGAATATGTGATAAATAATTTTTAAAATTTTTCGCATCCTACCTGCTGCGCCACTTTCGCAACAAATCAATTCCAGGCGAGAACCCAGCGAAAATCGATCACGTTTTCTTAACTCTCAAACTGCTCTCGGCACTAATTTCATTTCAGTCTTGTCCCAGAAAACATTATTAGTAAAGTAAAGACTGAAAAAAATCTCTCGAGAACTCCCGAACTTATCGTCTTCCATCCACTCGAACTCCTTTGAATCGTTTTATGATTCCCAACTTTCTCAACGATTGTTCACGATATTAACTCGTGAGAAATCCCCATTTTATCTAAAAATAGATCTCTGCAGCTCTCAAAACTTGTTAAGCGATTGACACTAATCCGCCATTACCTTCCCGCGTCTCGCGACGCAATAATCCACTTACGGGCGAAGCAGCGGGACCCTAAACACAGCGAACAAAACGTTTTAATATAAATTCCAGTCCCGGAGGCATCTCAAAGACGAACGACATTTCTTTGTCATGTCGCTTCTTGTTTAGTGCCGCTAATGCCCCAGGTATAATTTCAATAAACAGGTTGTTAGTTACAGAGTGGTGGCGGTGGTTGCGGGAAATTCCGATGCTGTGACCTTGAGCGGCCTAAAAGCGGACACTCAGTATCAACTGACGGTCGCCGCCGTTTGGGGCGGCAAAAAGTACAGAAGCAGGCCAATCGTCTTCCGCACACTGGGTAAGGCGACGGAATGTGCGCAGGGGAGGAGGGCCGAACTCATAACTGGTATTAATTTGCATAGTTTGGAAGTTTCGGAATGGAAATGGCGCGATTTCCATAGTTTCAAGCGGAGTTTTGAGGAAAAACGCGCTTGTGGTGCTTGAGGAAATGGTCATTGCATAAAATTGTACAGCGGGTGAGCTTTTGATTCGGTCCTTATCTGGATCAAATTAAAAGACTCCAGAAGCGCCCTCCTCCCAATCAGTAGTTGACTAGGTGTAGTTTCTTCGATGTTGGATGTTGTTCCCGTAGGGAAAAAGACACATGGTGGACTGTGCGTAGAGCTTATGTGTGTTCCAGAGCCACCGCGGTCGTCCCCCCAACAGGACCCCATGGCGACGCTTCCGTCGGACTCCCCGGCGACGAGGGATGATTCAGAGTCCGACGACCTACCAGATTACACTTATCCCCAAACGAGTTCCACTGTACGTGATTAGATTAATCCGTTGCGTGGCGACGACTTTTGATGTCGATCACGAACTCGGAACGTGCTTTTTTTAAAAGACCGTCGCAAAATCGCGCAATCCTACCTGCTGCGCCAATCCCCGAACATAAAAGACCCCTTAGAGACGTCGCTATTAATTATTTGGGTTCAAAACTAAATTATTTTCAAATTTTATTGTCATGCAGTATTAATTAGATTTATCCTTCCTGCTGCGCCAATTTGAAACGGCACATTCCGAGTCCCGCCGCCGGCGCTCTCTAATCGGCTTTGTTCGCCGCCAGGTGAGAGGTGTCGAAATAGGTATAGTCCTCTTGGTCCTCCTGGTCTGGGTGGCGGCGATAGCGCTGTTCTTCAACAGATGGGGCAAAATCCGCATGCTGCTTCCTTATCAGCCGGATTACAAGCAGGAGCAGCTCAAGGTGCCGGGGACGGCAGCCTGTGCGGCGGCGGTTGCCTCTGGCAACACCTGCACACATCACTCCGGCGATCACCTCTGCCAACAGGTGATTATTCGATACCATATGCACAAGTTGTGGATTTGCGGAGGGTTCGGATTGGAGTTTTCGATGGTGAATGTCGTTATCGGTTCAGATTACGCAAATTATAGGGAGAAGGGTCGTATTAAGTGCCTATCATTGGTTAAGTGATATATCTCTTCCGTTCGACCCGACCGGAAATCTATTTCTGTTTGCCAACCCTTATTTCAAGGGCCGGGAAAGTTGTGATTAGATTTGTCGGCATGACGAATCGAATTTAAATTTCTGGGGGTTTTGACGCGCTGCTTAAAAGATTAACTTCGACGGGGATGTTTGCATCTCACCGACGAATACAACTATTGAAAAACGTGCATAAAAAACGGAGTTTAATTACACATGAAGGGTCGCATCTCCTAAATAAATAATGAAACTCTTCTAAAAAAAAGTGTAAACCTCAAGAGTAAAAAATCAATACGACATTCTACCACCGAAAACCATCAATCTTCGAATTTCCTGCAAAGTGTTAACGTATTTAGGAAAAATCGCGTCTGTAAAGCATCTATTCATTAAAATTCGGAATGTATAAACAATGAGGGTATAAAAAAGCGAAAAATTAATTCGGTCGCGTTTGCCGTACTCTTTTACTGCGATCGATAGAAATTCTTACGAAATCCATAACTTCGGCATACGACATTCAACCCTACACACAATTTATACAGTCAATGGAAATTTTACCCGAGCATTGTTGTTGCTATGCGCCATTTGTGGTACCTCATGTAAATTGTCAATAACAAGGTGTGTGTTTCATTCCATACGATCTGTTTATGTTGTTACTGCGTCATGTTGCCACATGTCGTCATGAATTACGCAAACATGTTTATCGAGAATCATCGGAGTTTTGTGAAAATTAAACATCCACAACTTTACCACTTAATGAACTTCATGTAACAATTTCGTTTGAAAATACTAACGCACTTTTACTACATTATTAGGTTTTTGGCTGCATGTTTTATTAACAACACAAATTCGAAGTCTATAACGCCGTAATTAAATATTAATGGTTGCCTAATGCACTTAAGTGCATTATATTAGTACTTGCATTAATGCATTGACGAACAAAATTGAACGTTTATTGGTTGGCGTTTATTTTGAATTTATATATGCACCGGATTTTTTATCTCTCTTGCACTTTTCCATCTTCGTCATATAAGTTTTAAAATAAATAATAATTATAAAATTTTAACAATTTAACCGGTTTTTTAATCCTACATCCTGAATAAAATAGTAATTTCAGAAATGTCAGTCAAGCATTCCACGAATTCACATTTTCGATTAACATTCTATCAGGTGCGTCGAACAACTCTCAGTTCTTTCTTTTTATTCTTGGACATGTTTCTGAAGGTGTTGGTTTTTTTTCCAGCACAAGGAGTTTTAGGTTTCACGACATGCTATTTATTGCTTCTAGCGAAGCAGTAAGTTCTTAATGGTGTATTGATTTTTTAATAAATAAATGTGGAAAGTCCAGTGTTTCTTTACTGTTCGGAAAAATTACTACCGAAGTTTTTCGCGCAAAATTTATTCGAAAGCCAACTGCGCACCATAGTAGAAAATAGGCAAAAACGAACTGTATTTTTTCATTCATTCAGGATCATATTTCCGTTAGGGTGGCATAAAAAAAACTGTTGAAATTTGAAATATTCGGTTTAACCTTCATGTTCATGCAATTTTTTTAGTCATGAACATACATTAAAACAATGTGTCTATTATTAGGTTAATGGTTTACAAAATTTTAATGCTACATAAAAAATCTTGCAGTTGTGATGTTTTAACCACATGAAAACATAAAACGGTTTATTAGTATAAATTACTCGTCTAATTTTTATTATTTTCTATTTATCTGAAAGTCACCGATTTAGAGGTGTCTCTAAATTCTTGCTGCCAAAGAATAAAAATCAGAAGTGTGCTGCAATCAAACCGGTTATGAATAATATGCGATCAAAACTTAATTTGTTAGAGATACAAGTTTACAGGCTAACCACTTTTTTGAACATTCCTTTGTTGTGAAGCATTATAGTTACCTAATTTATTTTTCCATTCGGCATATTTTATCAATCAGCTACAAAAAAGTGTTCCGTAGTAAATAACCAACCTTTCAGTGTTTTTTCTTAAATAAGTGTAAAAAAAGCTCACCTTCATAATCTTTTTAAACTTTTGATCTGAAGTTGAAAATGCTTCTAAAAATCACTAGTTTTTTGTGACCATTTTTAAAAAGCTTAATATCGTATCACGTGGTGGCGCGTGATATGAAATTATAGTTTTTATATATATTTATTTCAACTTGCCTTTCAACTTGATGTCTAAATAATATTGTAAAAAAACGGAAATCATAAATATTTTAACAGCACGAGACGCTAGGAAACATTTGGGTGTTTTTTTCTAATGAATATTCAAACAGTTTATTTGCAAAACTAGTTACAAAATATTAATTTTATTTGACATGTACTTCCAGTCATTTGGAATGCAGTTAATTAAGTTTTTGCTGTTTACAACAAATATTCTATTTCCAAATTCAGCAAAATTGCAGTCAGCAAATAGTTTAACAAAAATGACGTGAATAATAATAATATTTCCAAATGATTAAACAACTTCTGAAATTAAATTAAACTACCTATTGGTCAAAAAAATCATTATAACATGAATGTTCGCATAAAGTTTATTGAATTTTTAGAAGTCCAATAATGTTTAGAATAATTATTAATTAAATGCGAAATTAATCAAATGAATTGTATTTATTATATATTTCCGCACAAAAATTTACCATTTGGGACATGTTTTGTCTTTATTTTTCTACGAGAAATTGCCATGTCAAACATGTTCTTAAGTAATTAATCATGTTGTTCACAGAAAACGATGTGTATTAAGTAAAAAAAGAAAGCCAAAGATTAAACCCGCTCCGATCTCAATTATAATCAATTTTTCATTCGTTCTCAGATCGAAAGGCGGAGCGTAATTGCAAAATCCATATTTCCCCACAAAAATTTACCATTATAAACATATTTTAAGTTTCTTCGTTTCTTCTTGTGAAAAGAAAACTACGTATACTAAGAAAAAGGGAACAAAATATAAGCCCCGCCCACCCGCCCTGTCTCAATTGTGATGATTTTTTTTAATTCGTCGTGAACCGAGAGGCGGAGTTTAATTGCAAAATCTGTATTTTTACTCAAGAAATTGCCATGTGAAATATGTTCTTAAGTAATCGTGTTGTTACAAGAAAACTACATGTATTAAGTAAAAAAAAAACAAATATTAAGCCCCACTTATCCCCGCCCCAATCTCAATTCTGATCAATTTTTCATTCGTTGTCAGTTCGAAAGGGGGAACGTAATTGCAAAATCCATGTTTCCCTAGAGAAATTTACCATTTTGAACATATTTTAAGTTTCTTGTTGAGAAAACAAGACTACCTATGTTTAGAAAACAAAAGGGCAGAAGATAAGCCCCGCCCACCCTCCCTATCTCTATTGCAACGATTTTTTTTTTATTCGTTGTGAGCCTGGGGGTTGAGCTTAATTGCAAAACCCTTATTTTTCAACAAGAAATTGCCATGTGAAACATTCTTAAGTAATCGTATTGTATTGAGTAAAAAAAAACAAAGATTAAGCCTCACCTATCCCCGCCCCAATCACAATTCTGATCAATTTTTCATTCGTTGTCAGATCTAAAGGCGGAGCTTAATTGAAAAGTCCATATTTCCCTACAAAAATTTACCATTTTGAACATATTGTTACGATGATCGGTGATTTTAAAATCGACGTGGGTAAACTCAACAATATATTTCTTAATAACTCAAATTTACACGACTAATTTAAGCAGCGATTGTGTACAAAAATAATTCCGGAGCAACTTGACTGAATTCATTAAATGGACTCGACCCGCTGACTGAATAATCTCATTCCCGAAGGTGGCCTCTATTTAAACCCATATTCCCTTCTAGATGTTTCGCAATCGAGGTATTTCTGGAATACCAATCGCGACTACCGCTTCCAGGCTTTTCTTTAGCGAATGCCGCCCCGTCGCCAGCACCGACGATGAGTCACCCATCATCGCCATACATACTAGTACCCATAGGGGTCGTACCGGGGCGACCTATGGGTTTCTTTCATAACAATATTTTAAGTTTCTTGTTGTGAAAAGAAGACTACGTATATTTAGAAAAAATAAGGCAAAAGATAAGCCCCGCCCACCCTCCCTATCTCAATTGTAACGATTTTTTTATTCTTGAGGTTGAGGTTAATTGCAAAAACCTTACTTTTCTACAAGAAACTGCCATGCGAAACATGTTCTTAAGTAATCGTGTTGCTCAAAGAAAACTATATGTATTAAAAAAAAAGAAAGCCAAAAATGAAGCTCCACCTATACACGCTTTTTATCTCAGTTGTGACGAAGTTTTCATTCGTTTTCAGACCGAGGGGCGGAGCGTATTTGCAAAATCCATCTTTCCCCATAAAAATTTACAATTTTGAAAATATTTTCAGTTTCCTGTTAAGAACAAAGGGTAAATTATAAGCCCCGCCCACCCACCCTATCCTACTTGTGATGATTTTTTTTATTCGTCATGAACCGGGAGGCGGAGCTTAGTTGCAAAGTTCTTATTTTTCTACAAACATTGCCAGGTGAAACATGTTCTTAAGTAATCGTGTTGCTTAAATAAATCTCTACGTATTAAGTAAAAAATTAAGCCCCACCTATACTCGCTCCTATCTCAGTTGTGACGAATTTTTCATTCGTTGGCAGACAGAGGGGCGGAGCATAGTAAATCCATCTTTCCCCATAAAAATTTACAATTTTGAAAATATTTTCAGTTTCCTGTTGTGAAAAGAAGACTTCATATAGTAACAGAAAAGGGTAAATTGTAAACCCCGCCCACCCACCCTCTCCTAATTGTGATCATCTTTTTATTCGTCATGAACAGGGAGGTGAAGCGTAATTGCAAAATCCATATTTCCCTACAGAAGTTTACCATTTCGAACATATTTTAAGTTTCTTATTGTGAAAAGCAGGCTACGTACATTTAGAAAAAAAGGTAAAAGATAAGCCCTGCCCAACCTCCCTATCTCAATTGTAACGATTTTTTTTTATTCGTCGTGAGCCTGGGGGTTGAGCTTAATTGCAAAATCCTTCTCTTTCAACAAGAAATTGCCATGTGAAACATGTTCTTAAGTAATCGTGTTGCTCAAAAAAAAACTAGGATGTATTGAGTAAAAAAAAAAACAAAGATTAAGCCCCACCGATTCCCGCCCCAATCTCAATTTTGATCAATCTTTCATTCGTTGTCAGATCGATTTTTCAGGTTTTCGATTTTTCAATTTTTCTATTTTTTAAGGTTTCGAATTTTCGATTTCACTTTTCTGATTTTTTGTCTTCTCCATTTTCTAATTTCTCAGTTTTTTGGATATTTTAGTTTCGAGATTTTTCGATTTTTCCATTCTTCAGTTTTTCTTTCATTTTCCAATTTTTCGGAATTTCAGTTTTGGGATTTTTCAGGTTTTTGATTTTTCAATTTTTCTATTTTTTAAGGTTTCGATTCTCCGACCTCACTTTTCTGATTTTTCGATTTTCCAATTTCGCAGTTTTTGGATATTTCAGTTGTGGGATTTTTCAGTTTTTCTTTCATTTTTCAATTTTTCGAAATTTTGGTTCGGGTTTCTTCAATTTATTTTTCAATTTTTCGATTTTACAATTTTCCCTTCTATAAACTCAATTTTTCATTTCTTCAATTCTTCAATTTTTTAGGTTTTTGATTTTCCAATTTTTTAAAGTTTAATTTTTTGACCTCACATTTTTCACTTTCTGATTTCTTAATTTTTCAATTTTGCAATTTCTCAGTTTTTGGATATTTCAGTTTTGAGATTTTTCGGTTTTTCCATTCTTCAGTTTTTCTTTTTCATTTTCCAATTTTTCGAAATTTGAGTTTTAGGATTTTTCAGGTTTTTGATTTTTCAAATTTTCTATTTTTTACGGTTTCAGGTAATTGAAAAATCCATATTTCCCTACAGAAATTTACCATTTTGAACATTTTAAGTTTCTTGTTGTGAAAAGAAGTCTACGTATATTTAGAAAAAATCGCCAAAAGATAAGCCCCGCCCACCCTCCCTATCGCAATTGTAACGATTTTTTTTTATTCTTCGTGAGCCTGGGGATTGAGCTTAATTGCAAAATCCTTATTTTTCTACAAGAAATTACCATAGGAAATATGTTCTTAAGTAATCGTGTTCCTCCAAGAAAAATATATGTGTTGAGTAAAAAAAACAAAGATTAAGCCCCACCTATCCCCGCCCCAATCTCAATTTTGACCAATTTTTCATTGGTTGTCAGATCGAAAGGCGGAGCGTAATTGCAAAATCCATATTTCCCTACAGAAATGAGTAAACTCAACAATCTATTTCTTGGTAATTCAAATTTATACGACTAATTTAAGCAGCGATTGTGTACAAAAATAATTCCGGGGCAACTTGACTGAATTCACTGGACTCGAGCCACTGACTGAATAATCTCATTCCCGAAGGTGGCCTTTATTTAAACCCATAATCCATTCTAGATGTTTCGCAATCGAGGTCTTTCTGGAACACCCATCGCGACTTCCGCTTCCAGGCTTTTCTTTAGCGAAGGCCGCCTGGCCGCCATCGCCGACTATGACTCACCCATCATCGCCGTACATACTAGTACCTACAGGCGTCGTACCGGGGCGACGTATGGGTTTCTTTCGTAACAATATTTTAGTTTCTTGTTCTGAAAAGAAGACTACGTATATTAAAAAAAAAAGGCAAAAGATAAGCCCCGCCCACCCTACCTATCTGAATTGTAACGATTTTTTTTATTCTTCGTGAGCCTGAGAGTTGAGGTTAATTGCAAAAACCTTATTTTTCTACAAGAAATTGCCATGCGAAACATGTTCTTAAGTAATCGAGTTACTCAAAGAAAACTATACGTATTAAGTAAAAAAGAAAAGCCAAAAATTAAGCTCCACCTATACTCGCTCCTATCTCAGTTGTGACGAATTTTTTATTCGTTTTCAGACCGAAAGGCAAAATCCATATTTCCCCAAAAACATTTACAATTTTGAAAATATTTTCGGTTTCCTGTTAAGAACAAAGGGTAAATTATTATAAACCCCACCCACCCACCCAATCCTAATTGTGATGATTTTTTTATTCGTCATGAACCGGGAGGCGGAGCTTACTTGCAAAGTTCTTATTTTTCTACCAAAAAAGTTCTTATTTTTCTACCAAAAATGCTACATGAAACGTCTTCTTAAATAATCATGAAAGAGTTCATTCTAGATACTAATTAAATGCTAAATTAATTAAATGGGCTAATAAGATGCTGCTTGTTATCCACCAATTAACTTTTAATTTCCAAATTAATTCAATTCATTACCGCGTAAATAAAAAACAAGAATTACTATAGGATCGTTATATTATTTTTCAAGCGAAAATTATATCGGAAGCCAGAAGGGTTACTTTGTCCAGTTTCTTTTGCGCGTGAGAAATTATTTAATAACATAAATGGTACGAATGTGATAATGATAAGTTCAGTTTAAAAAATATAACTGGTCACTGAATAATGACTACGTGAAAAACACGAAAACACAGGTATGCTAGGTTCTATATTTTGTTTACTATTATTGTATGAACAAATTTTTAACTAACTGTGATTGAACAATTTTTCAATGCACCTTTTATTAAAACGCACTCTATTCACAGGCTTTACAGCAAAACACCAAAACTGCTTTTGCGCATTTAAGCACATCAAAATTGATAGAATGTTATTATTCAGTGATGAGAATGCAAAACTCCGTTTGCGTAATTTATTCATGTGGCAACTCGACGTGTATTAAGCCTAAATTAAACCGGAGCCAATTACCGCCATCAGTGCAAGAAGAAGAAAAACCAACGCCGGCTAATCTCTCGCCCGATTCGGCCAGTTTGTACCTGTGGAGCCATGGAAATGGGTTATCTAACCGATGTCGAATCAGACTGACTCGCCAATCCATCTACATTACGTAATTATCAAAACGAGCACATTCTTTTGATCGTGTGCTTACCGTGGTCCAACAACTTATCGTCTTGTATTGGATTTTTTCTTGTTTCATGTGTCGATTAAAAATCGATTGCACTTTAGCAATTATGACTGTCGACAATTCCACACGGACACATTTGACTCATTTTCACACTGACAATCTTTTTTGAGTTGTTGTTTTTACAGAGCGAAGAAACGGAGGAAGCCGAAATGGCTTCGCTTCCTTTTAACGACATCATTAACAATAACAGAGTAAGTGGAGTAGTTGCAGGGAATTGTGTGATGGCTTTACAACATGGCTTCTATACAATGCAATTGCTCGACATTTATAATTGCTAAGTTTGATTTATTACGTAGTGAGGGATTTTATGCTTTACTGACAACGAGTGGCGCTAAAGAGTCACAAAATGTTGATTCGCGGTTTTGTATATTTATGCTCTGTCGAACCAATTTGGAAAATGTTGATCCGGACCCGCACCTGTTCATTCTCTGGATTGATTTTTTTTTCGACGGCAAAACGGGGTTCATCGGGTTTCAGTAATTAGAACGCATAGCTTACGAGGCGACTTTTTCATAAAACTAATTATACTTCGCGTTGAAACGGGCGGAATTAAAACAGAGAGAAAGATGAAAAAATTCAAGCTGTGTGTACTGCGGGGGAGAACTAGCTTTTGCAAAAAAAAACAAATTGGGAAAGATCCAAAATAGGGTTTTCAGTTAATGTAAACGTCGACGTTTCAGGAAAAATATGAACTACAATTTGGGTTTAATGCATTTTTCAGCAAGCACTTGCCGTTTAATGAATTTTTGCAGCTTTAGGAGTCTTTGTAGTTGAAATATTATGCAGATCAATTTCCCCTTACTTAATTCATGCTTTTGCTTATAACACCTTTCATCCGTTCATTTATTTTAGGAACGTTTTTCAAGAATCACGTTTTATACTTTGACAGTGCTATAAATTTTATGCGGTCGCTTTTACTTCTAATGCAATAATCATGTCGTTTCAATTTTTTCTTTGTATGTTTCGTAATTTTCACGGTTTATTTCTACATTTTTTGTTTACGCGTGTTGACGTCTCTCTTCTATTTTTGTCTAACCAATATATTTATTCACCGAATTCTACATTTTTAGAATGAGCTAATTAATAATGTACCATATTTTTTGTAGTTTCAAAATTTTAAGTAAGTCTTTTTTATGAAAATGGGCAAACATTGCCAAGCAAAATCTGTAGTGTATTTGTTCAGTAGAAATATTTGGCACTGACTTTCTTTAAGCGAATTAGCGTCAAGTGTTCTTAAAAATTATGTTATTGCTGTAAATTTTGTAGATCTCAAGAACTTCGTGGTGTGGCTAATTTCATTCATACATCATTAAGTCAGTGGGGATCTTAATTTCGGGTAAATATTGTGAACAACTCGTGCTGGAAATTGCAGATGTAAAGTTCTTGAATTTTATTTCATTTTCTGTACCTACCGATCTAGTAGCTTCGAAATTTTACTATTTAGACTATTTTAGGCTTACTTTATTAAGTTGGGACTGTATCACTATTTCATTTTTTTTTTTACTACTTACGGAATAAATAAAACACAAATTCATTAGGTCCACGTACCTACGCATGTGGGCTTATTTAAGATTATGTACATATGGTTTCCTACAGGTTGAGGAAATTCCTATTTTTGGGTTAGTAATAAAAGCGGTTAAATATTTATCAGTCCAATCTTATATTAAAAGCTCTTTTATCTTTCGAAATAATTCCTCCATTTTTCCAATATGCAAACCAAATAGGTATAATGGAGCTAAAAAAATATCCTATGTCTATCTGTTTGTCCGCAGACAAATAATCTTCTAAACTACCGGAGCGATTGTTGTCAAATGTTGTATGCATATTAGGAATATCGTGTAGATGATAAAACACTAACCAAAATTTGTCTGGGGACCACTGGTAAATGACTGAAAAATATTAAGAATAATCACTGGAATGACGAGAGGGTGGGTGGGCGGGGCTATTGCTTGCTTATGAAAGATTTTGTACGAAAAAGTTAAACTTAGCCCCACCCACCCACCAGTTCTCTCTTTTTTTCATCAGAACTCAGAAATAGCTATAGCAAATAAGTAGTATAACAAAAGAATTATGATTAACGCTTTTTTTTAACAGCCCACATTAAAAGAACATATAATTGACCCCGCCCACCCACCCTATCTACATTTCAGTGATTTTTTTTCTCTAGTCCGAATCGAAGGTTGATCTCACTTGAAGAGAGATAAAATCATTAGAATGAGAACAGCGTGCGTGGGCGGAGCTAGTAACTGCTAAGATAAGATTAATTTTGGTAAATGACATACCCTCTAAGAAAATAGAGGGCGGGTGGGCGGGGTTAGTACTTGTTAAGACACGATTGATTTTGGTAAATGACATATCCTCTAAGAAACAACCAGGTGGGTGGGCGGGGCTAAAACTTGCTAAGATAAGACTGAACAATATTAAGAGTAGTCACTGGAACGAAGAAGGGGTGGGTGGGCGGGGCTACTGTTTGCTCTTAAAACTAGAACAAAGCAAAGTGTAGCACAAATTTTCTGGAAAACGGAATGAACCGTTCCTGATTTAATCAACAAAAAAATTGACTCATTCATTAATTTTTTTAAACCACCCGTTAAAGCAAATCTAAAAAATATGAATACAATGATAAATCACAAGGAGAAACTCATCAGTCATCATATTTTGCACATTTTGGGTAGAATTTATTGAGCAAAATTTTGAGATGATGTCATTAATTTTTTGGGAAGAATAAACAGATATATTTTGATTAACAATTTACCATGCTTACAATAACTTTAAAATGTCTGCAAGATTTCAAAGTATTCAGTTTTGCATTTCTTAATTTATTCAATAAAATAAATTGACTGATTTGTGCTTTTTTTGAGTCAACCTGTATAAGCAAATCCAAAAAATATGAATGAAATGATAAACCACAAGTTACATATTTTGGGCATTTTAGATAGGATTTATACAGCAAAACTTTGAAGTAAATATATTTTGATTAAAAATTTATTGTGCTTATTATAAGTTTAAAACATCTGCAAGATTTCAAAGCATTCGGTGTTGCAGATTCAAAATTGAATTACAAATTGTTGTTTTTTTATAATTTTGATTTTTTTTTTTCAAAAAATCGGACTTTTCGGGTAAAAACTCAACACGGAGTCATCAAATACATGTAGGACCATGTTATTTTATACATTTTCAAACCCATTTATTATGTACAATTTTGAAGTAAGATCTTCACATCACATTTTTGGTGGGGATGATTAGACAAATTTTGGTTAGCGTTTTACAATCTACATGATATTCCTAATATAAATACAAAATTTGACAACAATCGGCCCAGCACTTTCTGAGACGGACAGACGGACGGATAGACAGACAGACAGACGGAAACAGGAGATCTATTTCTTCGTACTCTAGGAGTCATGAAAGGTCGAGAAAACGTAAAAGTAGAGAGTTGGCCGACTGACTCGATTACAATACTTCCTTCGCTTACGCTCGAGAAGTAAAAATTCATGAATGAAGCGACATGTTTTATTGTCCATTCCATTTTCTTGAAAAGTTGAGGATACAGTATGCTATTATTATTAGTGTCCTGGTTAAACTGTTGATGACGTCATCAAAAAAAATTTATATGGAAAAACTCACTAGAAACATATGCATACAATCCTTGTTTACCTGCATTTTAAAAATCACGCATATATTAATTTAACTCATCATAAAAAAAAAATTAATTCTCAAAGTTAAATGTGATAATTTTTCGTAACTGTATTTGTTCGACTGTACTTTAGAGGCGAGGGAAATTCTGTCGAAATAACCTTCACCTTATCTCAGTTGTGATGATTTTTTTGTTCATCGTAGGCCAGGGGACGGAGCTTAATTGCAAAGTCCTTATTTTTTTACAAGAAATTACCATGTGAACCATTTTCTTAACCAATATTCATATTTTCCCCCAAAAATTTACCGTTTTGAACATGTTTTAAGTTTTGTGTTGCAAAACGTAAGCCCCGCCCACCCACCCTGTCTAAATTTTAATGATTTTTTTATTCACGGTGAACCGGAGGGCGGAGCTTAATTGCCAAATCCGTATTTTTTTACAAGAAATTACCATGTGAAACATGCTCTTCAGTAGTCGTGTTGTTCAAAGAAAACTGTATGTACTGGAGTAAAAAAAGAAGCCAAAAATTAAGCCCCCACCTATCCCCGCCCTAATCTCAATTTTGCAAAATTTTTCATTCGTTGTGAGATCGAAGGGCGGTACGTAATTGCAAAATCCATATTTCTCTACAGAAATTTACCATTTTGAACATATTTTAAGTTTCTTGTTGTGAAAAGAAGACTACGTATATTTAGAAAAAAAGGCAAAAAATAAGGCCCGCCCACCCTCCCTATCTCAATTGGAACGATTTTTTTTTATTCGTCGAGATACTGAGGGTGGACTTAATTGCAAAATCCTCATTTTTCCACAAGAAATTAGCATGTGAAACTTGTTCTTAAGTAATCGTGTTAAAAAAAAACTATATGTGTTAAGTAAAAAAGGAAGCCAAAGATTAAGCCCCACCTATACCCGCCCCAATCACAATTTTGAAGAATTTTTCATTCGTTGTCATATCGAAAAGCGGAGCGTAATTGTAAAACCCATATTTCCCTACAAAAATGTATCATTTTGAACATGTTTTAAATTTCTTGCTGTGAAAAGAAGACTACGTACACTACAAAAAAAATGGACAAAACATAAACCCCGCCCACCCGCCCTGTCTCAATTGTAACGATTTTTTTATTATTCGTCGTGAGCCGGAGGACGGAGATTAATTGCAAAGGTCTTACTTTTCCATAAGAAATTGCCATGTGAAATATGTTAGTAAGTAATCGGCTTGTTCAAAGAAAACTACTTGTGTTGAGACAAAAAGGAATCCAAAGATTAAGTCCCACCTATTCCCGCCCCAATCTCAATTTTGATGAATTTTTCATTCGTTGTCAGATCGAAGGGGGGAACGTAATTGCAAGATCCATATTTCCCTAAAGAAATTTACAAGTTTCATTATATTTTACCTTTCTTGTTGTGAAAAGAAGACTACGTATATTTAGAAAAAAAGGGCAAAAGGTAAGCCCCGCCCATTCTCCGGATCTCAATTGTAATAGTTTTTTTTTTATTCGTCTAGGGGTGGAGCTCGTTATTTTTCTACAAGAAATTTCTTCAACTATATTTATTAACTGAAAAAGGAAGTCAAATATTAAGCCCCACTTATACCCACCCAGATCTCAATTGTGATGAATTTTTCATTCGCTATCAAACCGAGGGGCGGAGCGTAATTCCAAATCCATAATTCCTTCCAGAATTTTACCACTTTGAACATGTTTTAAATGTCTTGTTGTGAAAAGAAGAATACGTATATTAACAAAAAAAAGAGCAAAGCATAATTTTTTCGAACCTGTATTTGTTCGACTGTACTTTAGAGGCGAGGGAAGTTCTGTCGCAATAACCTTCGACCAATTTTTATTAATCTCTAAAATTAAAAAGAAATCTAAACAACAAATTATCCATTTCATTCATCCTTTATTATTATCGAAAAAAAAAACAAATATTTTCAACCGACCATTATCGTAAAGGTACACTCAGTTAAAGCAGCAAAGAATTCATATCCGTTTCTTATACATTTCCAACATAATACCATTACTCACAGGTCGCTAACCACCGTTCCTCCTTTTCTCATAAAACTCGCCTCCCCAATTTAAAAAAGCAATATCCTCATCCAAAATAAAAATATAAAAGCGCAACTTTCATCAGGCACAAAATAACGCCCCAGTCGTACGACCTCCACCTCGCCTTTATGAGACCGTTATGCATCCCCCAATTACACAGTTTGAAATTTTTCTCTCATCTTATCTCTGTTCGCGTCCACTAATTCGATTCCGCCGGAACTTTTACATTTAACGAGAAAGAAAAACCCGCTCCAATAATTAAAACAGCTCTCTCGCAAGGTAAGTGAATGGTCGCGGCTGGTCCCATGGTATCCAGCGTGATTTTCATGCAGAATGTGTTGGTATAGGGGTGCTGCATGTGGGATCAGTGTTTCGGCTACCCAAGGCGAACGCGAGATTCGCGCGATTGTGGGTGCCAATTCGCACTCCTCCACCGGGCTGAAGGCACCTAGCAACTAGCCGAAACGTCGACGACTACCCCATGCGTAAGTCTGGCGATGGGACGCTCGCCCGGCGCCTCCACCATCGTTTACATCGGATTTCAGTACTTGGGCGGGAGTTGACGCATCATTGGCCAGCTAGAGCCCGCCCTACGCTCTTATTGGTCGAAATATAGTTAGCGACGTATGAGGCGCCAGGGGCGGGACTAGTTAGGTGCCGCCCTAAAGCCGCAATTTTTAGACCTAGCTATTGTTTCTTCTCAAACCAAAATTTAGAACATTTTTGAATCTCCATGAAGTCTAAATCCTCTTTTTCTAGCTTCAGATTGTAGCCCTTTTTAGAAAAAAGTTAATCTACTTAGATACATATTTTTTATTTTTTTGTTTGCAATGCTTAGATGAGAGTAGTGCTACCTGCTACCCCTTCTGGATCTAGATTGTGTGCAAATTTTTTAACTATGAAGTGCAACTGAATTGCTCGAAAATAGTTAAACCGGCCTATTTGATGCGTCGATTTCCCACTGCATGGTTAGTCCGCTGCTTCTCTCACTTCTAGTTTCCAGAAATGTACAGGGTGGTGGAGATGGCAAGTTAAGAATTGCAGCCCCCTGTACCACACGTTCGGAGGACCAATCACGGTCCGTCGTCATTGGTCCTTCTCAGCTTACTCAGCACCGCTTACAGACAACACAATTTTTAATTGACACATGTAGAAAAGGTCCGTTCATAGACGATGGGGCGTCCTCGCTTGAAATCGGTGATTAGCGTTTTTGTCAGTGTAATGCACCGTGTACATTTTTGATCTTCAAACACTTTTGTGCGTCTTCAGCCACAGTCTTGTCAGTGATTCACTATACGTGTCGTTGAGTTTTAATGGGAGCTATGGTTCGTCAGTACACGCTAAACTACATTATTGAACTTGTTCGGGGCGAGTCGAGTAAGAGTGTAACCGTGGCGGGTTTGAAACGTCAACGAATTGGGCTTTTTAATTGGCTCGCCCCTGCTTGGATTTGTGGTTGCTTTCGACACGTTCGCCCCAATTTGTAGGGACGGTTTCGACAGCAGTCCTTGTACTAATACGATCAAGTTGTGACTTATGCGGTTCCTGATTACTCGACGAGTATATTGATTTTAGAGGGGTTGCAAGATCAAAGGGTGGACTGGTGCGTAGTTACCGTGCACGTGTTAAAATAGTTTCAATTATCTTCCTCTTTGAATAAATATGTCATGTTTTTAATTAAGGGATAATACAGGCGGATAAGAGATAATGGAGTATCGAATTTAATGAACACTGGGAGTTGCTCGATTGGAATGAAATAACAGGGGTAATTAAGTAAATGAAATAGATAACAGATATCGTAAACTAAACAAGATTTGTTTTATTATGTCGATAATGGGTTAGAGAACAATAAAACTGTAATAAGAGGAAAGCTGGCATTATCACGAGAGGGGTGCTTTAATGTTATCAGTCCCAAACGTCAGCTATTAAAAAAGGATACGTTTTATGTTTATTTGGAGTTTTACGGGTGTCCCCAATTTGGAAGATCGTAAGAGGTGTCATAAAACTAAACATACGAGCTTATTTGCCACTTTTAGATCGCTGTCGTTATTTTAGTTAGCCACAGAAACAACATTGACATCGCTATCAAACCGATTCACTTGTTCCAAGACCCCGACTAGCCCATTTTTCGTCACTCCAAAAAACTCGAAACCACATTTAAATAACACACGATAAAAGAAAACAGAATGTATAGTGAACCAAGAGTTATAAGGTTATATGGCCATCATAAAATCATCCCATTGTGTCGAAGTTAAGTTGTTTACAATAGAAAAGGTTTTAGGGTCGTAAATAACGTGTCCACTGCAGCTCGACCGGCTCTTGTGGTTTCGTTCAGGGGCGGCTTTCACTAAATATGCAAATCCACCACTCCACTATTTCTTTACTACCTGCAGCCGCTGAGGGTTCCGAAATAACCACTCGCTTTGAAAGCCAGCCCTGTTAAATATGAGCAAGAAATGTTTAGAAGATGATTTATTGCCAACCGGTAAGCTTAGTGCGAACCACACAAAGGGGGTATTTATTTGCGGTCAACTACTTTTATGATGGCCATATAACCTTATAGGTCCTGGTTCACTATAAAATTGATACCAGAGTGGTGGCACACAACGATAATAAATACAATTGAATATTCACAGTGAAAGCGAACAGACATCGGATGTCAAATGTCAAATCTGCGGTTGTAAACACACGAACACTCAATACTTAGATATTTACGAATCAAACACTATTCACGCTACTAGTTTAATGAACAACTGAAACAAGTTTGGGTCACAAATGAGTTTGATTGTTGACATAAAATTTTTTACTCTAAATTAATGTTAATTTTATGGCCTCTTGAGTCGAAAGCACAGTTCTAATTAGTCACAGACAAATTACTCAACGAAATCGCTTGATGTAGTCAGACCAAACTTAAAATAAAAGGTGTGTGCAATCGAGTTTTGAAATAAAACTTTATTTTATTTTATTACATCACCAAACAGAAAATAAACTTTGAATGTTCTATTTCCAACAAAAACAAAACAAGAGTGATTAAATAATCCCAGTGTTACAACAAAGCTTTCATCGCTCTTCACTAAAGCGATATTGAGCCCATATATGTACATGTATACGAAGCAAATATTAGTTAATCTTGATGGGCAAGTTAATGCTCCTCTCAGAGTAAACACAGCGTAATATAATAAACAGGAAGCGAAATTGTAATTAATGTAACAGTACATTAGGTGAACTTTGATGAGTTGCCTCTTGTTGTTTTGACCCCGTAACCCGAGGGTGAGTTTCATTGTTGGCAAAAACGTTGCTTCGATTGACGTCACCTTCGATCTTAACCCCTGCTTGGTTGCAACTTGGTCGTCGTAGCGAGTCGCATTTCTAAGCGAAACTTTTGCCCGTAGCCGTGTCCTCCGCAGCCACGTAAGCCACACCGTCCCCGCATAAACTCGGCCATTTTCGTGTCCAACAGCGGTCCGGGTCTCGACCCTAAGGAATTTTTCAGACGTCATGGTTCCGTCTCTAGGCTTTGCCGCAAGGCAAGGAGTGTCGACAATATATCTCTTGAGGAAAACCACTTCGGATTGCCTACATTGTCGGTGTCCGGGCCGTCGCCTCCCGAAGACGAAGAGAGAGAGGAGGTGCAAGAGACCCAGAAGTTTCTCGAGTAAAGCACAAAGGAGGGAGATTTCGTCGTTGTTTTGAGGAATATGTGGACACTTCCAGTTCCAAGCACTTCTTTCAGTGTACATAACGGTTCGTTTTAGAGAGCAATAAAACGGATAGTGTTTTTTTAGAGACGAATCGGTGCCAATGTGTGAAGTGACTGATGCTCTTTGGACCGCTTCATAAACTTGTGTTAGGGTTTTAGAACTTTGTCATTAGGGTTAGAATCGACTGTACTGACTACTACGAGCTTTGTGCGAACACCGACCTTCATGCGTGGAGAATACTAATTACTTTACATATCGGAGATCCGAATTTTTCACTTTGACGACAAAGAAATTATATTTAGAGAAACGGGACCAAAGTCGATTCATATGAGCTTTAAAAAGTATTTAGATGGTGGATGAAGGGGTGTTCGTACAATTTCTACATTTTTCAATAGCTTTAAATACTATAGGGGTTAGTTAAGAGGTCCAACACTGCTACTTTCAAACCCTGATGAGGTGAAACGGTAATCCGATGGGTTTTTTCAATTAATACACCAAACAGTCAATACGAACATCGGATTACTTCCAAATTTTCTAAATTTATATAAATTGATGGCTTTTTATTAACTTTCAATTAGCTATGATCAAACTGGATTTTACCACTTGCCTGTATCAACGATCACTTGCTCAAAACTCTAAATGTCACCACTAGAGAAATTATTTTGACGATGATAACTGTAACTTTTATACGTAGAATGTACTTCCTAACCGTTTGTTGTTATGTGGTTTGTTTCTCATTGGTTTCTAAAGGCGGCTTTCCACTCGACAGTGGAACGCCGTCTGAACAGGCATTTCAGTTTTAGACCGTCACAAAATACCCAACATTATTTTTAATCTTATTAAAAGACTTTACTAGTTTTATGTCCGCTCATTAACCTGTCCGTGTACCCTAAAAAACGAGAAAACCACCCCGTCTCTGAGAAAATTACACCCCGTGAAATGCCTGCCCATATTCCTCGTCTCGTTTATGTCATCGTTGTGTTTCATTAAGTCTATCTTTTTTACGACTGTAAAGATAATCGTTGTATACTAACTGTTCATGTGTATATATCATCTTTCATTTACTTGATATCGATTGGCTTTGTAACGATGGGTCCAAACTGACTTGATAGAACCCAACCTACTTTATTTCCATCACTGTGATTTTAATGCCTTCTACAACCTCTACGCGCCATCTGATTTCTTTTGTATGACACTCTGTCGAGGTAAAGGGTCTTGTAAGCGCTGTACATAAATTTACCACTGATTTCTTTGTGTAACGCAATAAATTATACCTACTCAGTCCATTTTATTCATCCCCGACTTCATTATCTTCAAGTCAATTTGTACAAGAATCGCTTAAGTACACATCAAAACAAACAAATTTTAATTTTAAAGCTTTCATAAGTTTCGCGGAAGCTCGCGCAAAAAATTTCAATAAAGTTGCTTTTATTAAATTTATGTTTATGAAACGATGGAAATTCCAGATGTGGAGATGCAAGTCAAGATATTAGAGGAAATGACAAGAGGGTCGTTTCGAAAATTGTACTTGTAACTTTAACGTCAAGTTTAATGGAATATTAAATTGAGGTTGCTTTTATCATTTTTGCTTTTTAGGGAGGGGTTTTAAGTGCTTAAAGGGACCACGGTAATTGATATGTCGTGCATAATGCAGGTACAAAGTACGAAGAGCTTTTTTATGGCTGTTAATAATTAATTTATGAATTTAGGGGTAAGTTGGTCACACAAAATTTGCTTTTACTGGCCTTTTTTCCGTCTAAGATAGCTGACATATTTGAAACATTAATATTAATAACTAAGTTACAAGAATGTCTATCCATATTTTAATTTTGATTGTTGTGTTGCTTGACGAAAAGAGAAAAACAACTAATTAACTCATTAAATAGGACTCCGTTTAGATATAATGTATTTCGAGAAGGTCACTGACGCAAGTAATTAACATTAGAAGTTCATAAATATTAGGAAATTATGATCCCAATTTAAGTTTTCGACTTCATCTGTTAGTATAATATTTATTTTGCTTATTTAAACATAACTATAGCTGCGTAGTTGGTATTACCACACATCAAACTGAGGACAGTAGTACCACCCAAAGCTTCACGGACAAAGAAAACTCATACTCACTTTATTTTCAATCACACGATTTGTAGGACGCGTTTTATTTCCTCGCAAACTGAACACATTTTTAAAAACAAGTGTTCACATTGATTTTTAAGCATAAGTAAAACTTGCAGCACTTTTATTAAAGTTTTCAATCACCATTCCTTGAGGTTACTGTGACAGTAGAAAGCACCACACATAATCCAAACTAAGGTAATTATGAACACTGGAAGTTGACAAAACTCATTTTACATAAGTAAATTAGCTACAGAAATTTGTGATTTGTTAATATTTTCGTTCGTAATTGTTACATTGTTTAAATAACATTCGACACGTTTAGTATATGCAACCAGTTATACACCAAAAACAACGGGCTAACCATGAACAACTTATAATATTATTGTAGAAACTTTGTCGTTTTTTATTTAAGATACTCAGATAAAACCATTTTCTTAATCAAATGGAAATTTTATCAATAATAAATTATTATTTATCGATTAATTTATTCGCGCGACTAATTTAAAAAGTTGATATTTCTGCAGCGCCTCTCATGACAATCAAACAAACTACACCGCGCATGCGCTTTTCGCCTAACCTCACTTTCTGTTTACAAACAAATCGATCTCATTAAACGCGCCAAACGTAGCAAAACCCACACAAAATCTCTCCCAAAATGGATAGATATTTCCAGAATACGTCCAGCAACGCTCCAGGGTTCGTTTATTTCAACCAGAACACAAGCCAAGAAGCCCAAAATAAATCCGACACGACGGACTTCCTGGCATTCGGTGACTCCCCACAGGCGTCCCCGCAACCCAACAGGTTCACTCCGCCCTACTACAGCAGCCCCCAAACCAAATTCTACAGAGGAAGCCCGCGGAATTACCCCCCACACACCAGAAGGTATCAGAGATGGTCAGGGGGCAATCGCTCGTTTAACAGCTCTGGGTCAAGTTTTAACCAGAGCACGTCGTTTAGAGTACGTTTTCGTGATTTGTAGTGACATAATTAACAGTATTGTTTGTAGGATGACGATCAGGAGACAGAAATAAGCAAATTTGTGCATCCGTCCTTCTTGGAGGATCCGTGGGGGCGACTGGAGGCGAAATTGAAAGAACAGAGTAGTGTGAGCGAGGCGAATGATTCAAGAATATTGGAAGAGGAGGAGACTTAAGTGGTGTTGATTTCGTTGTCGGTGTTCAATGTTAAATCGAGAGTACAAACTGTACATATGTGCAAATTCGATGAAAACTCAAACGTAAATGTAGGTTTTAGGTTATTTTTCAATAATAAAAAAAAGCGTATTTTAATTATTTCGTGTCAATGGAAAAATTTGATGGTTTACAGGTTGTTGCTTTACCGACTACAACATATTGATCGTAAATGCGACAAAACCAACTAAACCGAACCTAATAAAACATCTAACTTTGGGACAATTCGTCTTTGTCGTGGAATTTTTAGTGCATTTCTTGTTGGTTTTGTTGCTTCCAGACGAAATTTGAGGTCTCTGCATTACCGATAAAGTTTGACTGATTACGTTACAGATATCTCCACTAGAAAATATTTATGCCGTGATAACTATTTCTTTGTTTCATTATTAAAACTGCATTAATCGGAGTTGTAAACTATACTGTTCTAGGTGTAAATTGTTTCAATGTATTTTTCTAGTTACAGATTTCTCCAATGCCAACCTCATTCATTTCAAGATGGCGCAGCGTGTTCTTGGGGTGAAACTGGTGAACCCTGTGTCCATGCGCACTCACTTCTAAAAGTTATGGAAATAAAACTTTGTTTAGTTTTGCGAGTTTTGTCCGTCGTGTACGTTGTAGTTTACGTCCGTCGAACCTGTTGCGTTTATGTGAACCAAAATCGTGCGTGATGCCTAACCGGTGTAACTGCAAGAAAAAGTGTTTTTAACCCACACGTGAGTGTTTCCGAAGCAACGATGGGTCTAGGGCTGTCGAAAGAGGGCCCTTGTCAGGAGCCCGAAAGACCGGAAAGTGTAATTTCGGCGAAATTGCATGGAAGACAAGCCAGCATCAGACAAAGTACCATCAGGGCAAAATCGAAGCAACCCATGCCCGATCCCAGCGAACTGGAAAGAAGATTCACCAAAGTGCTGGTGAGTCGGGTAACCTTCGACGATATGAATCACATTTTACTGGACGTTTTATCAGTGTTTATACCATTAAGTAGCCGCGAGCATGTGTGGGGTACTTTTTTTTTCACTAAACTATTCAGGAATGTTGTCAGTACACATCGTTCCGATAAGAATGGACGGTCTTTTTCTTGTTTGCGCGATGGGCGAGAGGTTGACCTGCGGTACCAGTCTGTGGTACCGCAAGGGTTGGAAGAAAATATAAATTTGTGAACATCTGGCGGCGCGGTTCGTGTGGGTAGCTGATTTACATCGAGCGCGAATTTATTGCGATTTTATAGTGGTAGTACCAATCCACATATCGACTCTACCACGATGAAGTCAACACCCAAAACTTTCGTTTTTTACATTTCTGCAATGATTCATTCGAAAGTTACATGGTTTTTATTATGGTTATTAACATAGATAAATATAGGTTGGATCTGACTCAATGCAGCCTCGTTTATTTCTCTAATTGTGTGCTGGCACCATACAAACGGGTCAATTAGTTGAATTCGGGTGCCCATCTTTCAATACAATGTTATCATCTGCTTTGTTGCAATCGAAAATTTATTAGATCGTCGAACCGTTAAAAACTGGTTCATTGTTTATTTTAGCATTTGGGTACTCTTGGCAAAAAACGGCCACCAACATTGTTCCTGACGAGGTTTTTGCGACAACCAACGAGAATAGAAATTGCAAACAAGTGACTTGCCCGATCTGCTTTTTTCCCCGATCCGTACATCGAACGCAACTTTTTACTTTTATAAATTAATAATAATAAACGTGCGATGCCGGTTCAAGCTCCCTGGAATCAAAGGCATTTTATGAATTCTGCACAAAAAGTGGCCGCAGAGGCCGCCAGGTTGACTCATCGTTTTAATATTCGACCAATATCCGATCCGGATTTTCCCCTCTTGTTTAAAATTTTATAAGGGTGTCGTCGCCATTTCATTGTGCAGATGGCCGGTTCACAAGCCGAGTTGGCGAGGTTTTGACAGCTGTCAGTTGGGTTAACCACGATTAAGAATTCCGACGGAGTTGCCGTATTTTAAAATAAGTGATATTTATGGTCATTACGTGAAATAAATACTCAGAAAATTGGGTTATGTACAAGATTTGCAAAGCCACAAAATTGTGGTTTAATTTCCCGTATTACTATTATTATAATTTAGAAATGAGTAGTCATTCCAAGTGAAATTAAATAAGCGCTGCAGAATTAGCACAGACTCATTTCTACCTAGATCATGTCATATCAAGTTATAATAATAATTTTTTATTTTATTAATGCATATAAACATACAAGTTTTTTTTGCATAAGTCACATATATGTACATACTGCACACAATAAACAATAAAAGAGAAATGACAAATTAATTGACATACTCATTTGACATACACATTTTCGGGGACGCTACATAAACTTTTCATTTTCAAGTTCAAAATATGTACAAAGTATAATAAATTATTATCAAACAAATCGTTTTCTGAAGTACCTACATATAGGAAAAGATCGAGAATGATAATAACAAACAACACTACATAATAGAATTTAGATAAGCAGAGATAGCCAAATATAGAATTTACACAAAAAATAAGCCGCAATTGTTGGCGTTTCACAGATTGTTGATACAAAAACGTCGGTCCCCCATTTCCGCGGATCTCCGTGTGTCTATTCGAAATTTTGTCACACGATGTTAATTAGTGCTAAGTTCATGTCAAAATTAATCTGTCCATCCCTACCAAAAAATTGATGACATCATCCAGAATTTTTTTAAATGGCCCATTGAAGTGTGCAACGTGACATCCTGCTTTATTTGTAGTTTAATAATTGACTCCCATTTTTAACTGAGGTAAACGGGTGATGCAAAAAGACGAATCAGAAACTGAAAAATTACTAAAGGACTTAATTTTAACATCTGATTTTTGAGTCAGTAAACTCTCGTGTTGCAGCTGAAGCAACACGAATTAGTAAATTAAAAAAGTACATATTAAGCGACTACATAACTGTTACGTAACCTGGACGTAATAAAAATTACAATAGTACATATCGGGTATATTTAAATCTGTCGTCAAGTGACTACAACGCCAAAAGCGGATGTCGTATGTTGTTATTTCCGGCGTTAAGTTGTCATAGACGTCAAAATAAAACTTAGAGCAAAAACGCACTACGACAGTCCGCTTTTGCGCGACGTTAAAAAAATCGGCCGTCTGTATCGGATCAAGTTGGCCTTGATTTTTGTGAACATTGTAAATATGTCCACAATTAACCTAAAATTTAATCGATGACATCTGACAAACCGGAAACGTCAATTATAGACACAGTATGAATTAATAAAACACATGCGTTTTCGCCAACTTGACGACTTTTTCATCAAACACGCGTTAGCAGTGGGTGTGAAACATTGAAAGTGATATTGGGTATGAATAAATAACAAAGCAATAATCTAACACCCAAAAAAGTGGGAGATTAATCAAACAAAATTGAAACAAGCCCCGAATGACGTTTCCATAGCTACAATTTGATTTTCCATTTCTCGCGTTAAATTTTATTTTTGGCCGAACAAAACGATATCAGAAATGGTGTAGGCCGGACAGATTGCTTCGATCGCCTTAAATCAATAACGTACTAGCCACATGAATTTATGATAACGTATTTAAAACGTCCCAGATAAAACTGACTCCCCTTTGTTGCTAAAGTCGACCAAGCTTTTAAAAATTTAATCAGCCAATAGATGCGGCCGCCGTATCGATTTTGAGTCATTAACTCTATAAATGTCCCGTATTCGTTTCGCAAGTTATTAAAAACCACTCAGCGTAAATAAAAAATAATTACATTGTCATCTTGATTACGAAGAATGATTCAACGCCCCAAACAAATATCGGTGAACTTCATCTCGCAACATGTAATTTTGTAATAAAGATATTTAGATAAAAAAGTGATAATTTAATACGGTGAGGGAGCACATTTGAATATGGAAACGGTAAGATAACACGCTTGGTAATTATGTGTTCAAAGAAAATAAGGAAAAGAGAAACTCCGGAATTTATCTTGCTAGTGCAGCTTTTTATATTTATTTTATAAATCTTATCTGAATCCAGATTCAAGACAAATTTATAGCGAGTTCTGTTGCTTTTCTTTTTCAGAAACAGGTGCGTTCGCTGGACTTACCTTGAAGTATCATTCAATTAAGGAAATTTGATCAGTAGGTGGTAATCGATACTTATCGGTAAAACAAAAGATAGAGATAATATGAAAGACGATCCGGTGTCACCTAATTTGGCAAAAGGAGATTATGATTGCGATAAAACAAAAACCGCTTGAGATTTTCAAGCACTCGCTCCAAAATTCACGGTGTATATTTGATGACTGACTTAAGGGATAGTGAATACACCCTCAACACCTGTGATTCATGGATGATTAACTGTATTAGAGATTCTTACAGGGTCTTTGTACAGTCTTGGTGCCTCAGTCAATAAACTTTCTACTTCAAAAATCTCGGTATCATGCGACATTCCCTCGAACATTAACTATTCAAAACCCACGCTTCTTGGGTTATTTGGTGTGGGCAGTCATGCAACACTCAGTAATATACTTCTGGATGAAATTCCAAATCGACTGTATTAAAAAGCCGTTCACACCTGTTTCCATTCAGTCACTCCAGACGTTCCAGAATTAGCTTTACTATCAACGTAAAATCCTATTGGATTTCCTGAAACAACGGAGCATCTGCGTGCACTAAGGCCATCAAACGGGTTCGTGTCGGGGGTGGGCGGCACTATATAAACGGCGAGACAGGGAGGGGCTTTTTTTGTCCTCCCTATAAAGTGCTGGATTTAATTAGCGTGTGCGGTTAAAAATGGCTATGCGGTTGAGTTCATTTACCGAAATAGTGATACGTTTTGGGAGTCGGCGCCGAGTTAATATCACAAAGGACTTTATGGAGTTAGTGTTAATTAAAATTGCCGAGAGGGAAATTTGCAGATGGATTTTTTTGTTGGTCTTTTTCAAGACTTGTTGGAAAAATTTAGTGCACTAAATGAACTACATTAAACCCTTTCCGCCCTCCAATTTCCGAAAATAATCATCCGCTATTTATAACCAGGATATTACGTGTTTATTTTGGGTGCACACTGGAAACCTTCCTCAATGTATCTCGTCACGAGTCATGTCAACGACTGAGCGCTTTCACGGAGGGTAACTGCAGACAAACAAACACACCCCTTTTAATAAATTCCCGGTGGTTCGATCAGCGAACGTCGATTATTGCGGGATGAACGACCATTTGCAAGTTTGTAATGTGTAAATAATCCCTGTCAGCTGCTCTAAGCAGGTGTAATCGAATAAGGAATGCCGTAAATCCCTCAGGAATAAATCTGAGCACAAAACGGAAGCGTAGATAAATAAAAGTGAGACGCCTGTGTAATTAAGAGATTTGGAATGTCACTTGTCTAAGCGTGTGTAAACAACGTCCATGTTAAACAAACATTTTTGGGTAAATAGGACTTAGGGGTGAATCAACCCTTGTGTGGGGTTTTTAAGCTCGGGTTTAATTAAACGGATTGTTTCGGTTTATGTTGGTGTAACACAACGCATATTTTTCTTGGCTAGCGGTGTGTAATTTGTGTGTTTTTGTAATGAAGCGGTTATTTTGCTTCCTCCAATTGGAATCGTAATTTACTGCGTTTTGTAGTGGTTTGTGTCATGTGATTAAATTTAAAAACGTTCATAGCGCAATTTGGTAGTGTATAATTTATTTTTTAACTTCGGTTTACACAGCAACATTGAGATCTTCACTAAATTTCGCTTTAAATGCGCAGCGTAACATTTCTCGTAGTATTCCAATTAACGTTTCTGCTATTATATTATAATTTATAGCTTCGTTATGGCACCGCTTGTAAAGTTTCAAAGCACAGATGACAATAAAACTAGTTGTATTGTGTTTTAGGGTCAAAAATTAGCCCCATTTCATTTGTATAACATT